TGACTGACTTTGTCACATATATCATGTGAACAGAAGTGAAACTCATGTTTATGATTCAAAGTTTCACTGAGTTTTAAAAAGTACCAATTGGTTCCAAACAAATATATACATTTAGTTACCTGCTCAGATTATAGTTGAACAAAGTCATTGGCACACATTTTTTGGGACAAGGAACTGAAAGTTGTAGATTGTTGGTCTTTATAAGTTGAAGCGTGAAACTGATGAACAATGCAGACATAAAAGCCTATGATAATCAATACTTTCTGATTCTTCCTTCCATATTTAGGGTATATTTTACCTGGAGGAAAGGACATTCTCATGGAAGCTGAACTTTCTGAGCAGGAACTGTTTCTCATGGAGATAATGAAATGAGTGGCCATCATCCAGGTATAGTTTACCTGTTGCACATCCCTATATATCAGGCAAAACACAGAATTTTTTTATAATCAAATTCACTATCATTTGGCTGTTTGCCCAGCTGCAAATCTGGGAAAGACATGCAAGCAAACAAGCAAACTCATTTACAGATACAGATAGACATTTTATTGGGAACTTGCTTTGCTTTACTTTCCTATAGTGTTAGATGGAAAGCAAGTAATTGCTAATTAGTGAAATGAAAACCAAAATCATATTGGCATTAAAATGGAGAATGAGAAATCAGTGAAAATGAAAAATGATATTTTTCATTTTAAATAACTTTATATACATTTAAAATTAACTATAAATAAATAGTGTGTACAAAAATAGATTTAGAGGACCTTATAATCTAGTGCAGCATGCAGTTCATATGGAACATCTACCATCCATTCTGTGGATTTTCCTACAGAAATCTTCAAAGGTATAATAGTCCCACCACGTTGAAATACAGGAATCTGCAAAAAGAAAATAAGTAGTGGCTGGATTCACACATTGCACTAAGATAATGTTTTTTTAACCATAGCTTATTAAATTAACCATAATTAGGTGTGTTCTCACAAGACTCTAAGCCATAAATCAAATCACAATGTTTCAGTTCATAAAACATACAAAGCCAAAGCAATCCAAACTATGGCTTAAAATATTGTATGAACCCAGCTAATAAATAAGTATAATAACGTACTTTTGGACAAAGGAAAAAGACAATGAAATACTTTTTTGTAGCTAGCTCCTGCTTAGCATATACTATTTGATTCAGAACATCAAGCCCTATTTTTCTTAGGTACATAATCAGGGCTAACAATACATTTGTATTAGCAAGAGCAAATGGGGTCATATAACATTAAACTGGTAGAAATAATATCTAGTGGGAGCCCAACTAATTCTGTCAAATTTCATATATTCCACAAAAGGCTGTGTTTATTTTATATTATTTATCACTATATTCAATTCAATGTTAACATAATTAAAGTGATTTTGAAAAATTAATATTTGAAAAAAATATTTTTCAATCATTTAGTTTATTTGGTGAATAAACTATATTTCCACTGTGTAGTTTGAAACATTACCAGTGTCAATATTTTTAGTGCTTGAAAGACAACACAATCTTAATTCTGTATTTTGCTTCCGCTGCATGTCCTTTCTATTTGTGGAACACAAAATCCTGCATATTGTATACACACACTGTATTACTAAGAAATAAGGTATTATTAGGAGATAAGAGTTTTGGTAGTTACAAATTTTAGATTTAAATCCTTACAAATTCCACATTTAAATCAACAGAGTTCACTAAGCTAGAACTATCCCATTCTCATAACAGAACTCCAGTTTTACTTAAATTAAAATGAAGATAAAGCTTTTTTAAAAATGTTAAAGGAAACACATACATTGTTCAATGTTACTGGGATCTTCAAGATGCCATGACCTTCCACACGCCTAAATTTTCGGAAGTCATACCAAATCTGTCAAATAATAAAAAGGAAAACAAATGAGTAGGAATTAGATTTTAGATACAGAAATCCCACATGAACCCTAACAGAAAATCAAATCAATAACTAATTTATAAATCCCAACCAATGCAGTAATAGCAAACAACACACAAAATAGCAGTAATTTGAGAGCAGTAAGTGTTCACTAAGACAACTATAATCAAGCCACCATTTTACATTTTTCTAAAAACTGATACACATTTATTCAACTCAAAACTCTCAACTCAACAATTTAACCAATTGGCCAGAAACAGGAATCCAGAAAGCAAGAATGCTACTTTCCCCAACCCTTCCCTGAAGTAGCAGCAGATTATCTTAGTTTAGAGTTGGCTAGTAGGGTAAGAGGACTCTCTAGGTAGAAAAAGATTTACTTTTTGAAGAGCAAGAGAAAATTCATACTGTCTTATGAAAAACCCGCACTCCTTTTTGTTAGGGAAATGAGGCTGCTAGTTTTATTGGCAAAGTATGATAAAAGCACAAAAGTTTAATCATATAAAAGGTAGGTGAAGTTTATCTCCTCCTTTTGTATAATAACGACAACAGACTAACTCGAGGGTCTCTAAAACCTTCAACTTTAGGTCGTTACAGACCTCACGTTTTTTAACGGATAGGACTTTTCATTGGTACTTTTTCTTAGACTTGAAAAGACAACGACAGAGAAAATTATCCACTCTCGAATTTCCTGGAATGAGCAGGTTCAAGCTCTAAATAGCTTTAAAGAATCAAAAACTTATCTTAAATTGGGCATTTGTAAAAGCATTTCCAATTCAATACTGATGGTGGGTATAAGGCATTATAATGATTGCTATCGTTAATACCTTATTCAAGTATCAAGTAAAGCATTGTCTGAGGAATCACAATTCTGTATCTAGATCAGTGGTGGCAAACCTATGGCACGGGTGCCAGAGGCGGCACTCAGAGCCCTCTCTGTGGGCACACGCACCGTCACCCCAATCCTAGGCCTTCAGCTGGGTTTTATAAAACCTTTTCGCTTTAGGCCTCTGCCACCATGTGCAAAAAAACAAACAAAAAAACAACAACAAACGGTTCAATCAATCAGTCAATTTCAACTTCTCGTGGGAAAAAAAAGATCTTGCAAAGTTGGAATTGATTGATTGAACTTTTTAGTCCCACCCAGTCTGCCATTACCACCGCAGCCACACCCAGCCAATGGGCCATGCCCAGCCAATGGGCCACGCAGTTTACAGATTAGAAATGTATAAAAATAATGAATAAGACAGAATTAAAAACAGAGTTAACAACAAAGTTAAAAAAGGCAGAGGGAGTGCCCTCAAGCCACCAACCATCCCAGGATGGGATATCATTCTTGGATCTCCAGGTTAGTTGGCAAAGAGGTATTAAGGCTACTCCAGAAGGCCAGAAGAATGGATGCCCACTTCACCTCTGGGGACAAGATGTTCCATAAAGTGGGAGCAATGACTAATATATTCATTAGTACCTGGACCAAACTTGGTTAACTAGGCATTTCTGTAAAGAAAATTAAATTAGCAGTGTACAAATAGTACCCTGCACTCTTATTTTAGCAATCTCATGCAAAGATTTGTTTATATATATATATTTAATTAGTATCAGTGTATGTGTATATGTAAAGTGTATGTCAGCATGTGATGTATGTGTGTTTGTATATGTGTGTGTTTGTGGGGAGGGAAATTCATTCCATTTCTCTTACCTCTTGTGTGCCTGGCAGAAAGACACTGATTGTACTGATTTTTGGAGCAGCGACTGGATGCACCAACAAAGCACTTCCTAAATTAAAAACATATAAAAATGCATTGTCCCATTTTTCTTCTCCTATAATTAGCACAATTTTAAATAATTGTTTGTAAGTATGATCTATACCCCCTAGGAAGATTTTTATGCTCAGGTCTGTATCCATCATTGAACGTCTTGTGCTCCTTAATTAACCCTGCTACCCAAGGAGACTGATTGTAATTACCACAGGAAAAAAACAACAACCTGACATCTATAATATAGAATACAAATGTGCTGAAGTAGCAATACCTCAGCCAACTCAGAGGAGCCTCAATCAATACAATGATATGCATCTCTACCAATTCTTATGGAATTGACTATATAAATTGGAATAACGAACAACTTAGAGAAAAATAGATGGGGTACATAATGCTGTAACTTCAGAATAAATAGTAGATATTATGGATAATTTAAATTTACCAAGCATGTACTCATCTTCAATGCCAAAAGTTTCTAATTCCTTTGGAAATTCCACCCAGAGAGGCCTATAAAAAACAAAGGCATTTCACTATTTATACAAATGCTAAAGAGCATAATTTTCTCTCCTATACTGCATCTATTTATAGTTTCTTAAGTTTATGCTTTGGATGTGGGCATTAAAGTTGCTATTTTAACTATTTAAAATATCTTGGTGTGTGTGTGTGTGTGTGTGTGTGTGTGTGTGTAATCACTGCTATACCACGTGAGCTTTATAATTATAATTACAAAATTATAATACAAAAGTGCTACAAAGAGAAACTTATTAAAAGCCTCAGAAAGAATCGTAAATGGTAAGCTTATTAACTGAAATATTTAAACAAATCAGATTTAGCTGATTTGGTCCTATCCTCTCCCCTGACTGGCTCAACCATTTTTTTAGAATTTGGTCCCTGGTATGCCAAAGACCAAAGAAAGCCAACAATCCCCACAAAGCTAATTTATAATAGTCCCAAAAGCACTAAATGGAAAGTTGGTTTAAAAATCTTTTGCTACTACTTTCTATAACAAAACTCTGGAAAGCTGTATATATAGAGAGTAAGGAAGATGATCTTGATGGATATATTCAAACTCTGCTGCCAAAGCAACAAGGGATAAAACATTAAGTCCAGAACATCCAGAACACACTCAAAAGCAACTCAGATACCTTCCTAACTATAAGTCAGAAGAAGTAGTACAACATAATCAGACTTGCAAGATTGATATCAACTCTACTAAATAGACCAGACCAAGAAATCACCACCACAGATAAGCACTAAAACTACCTTTATTGAGATTATCTATAATAATAAGATTTTGAAAGTCTGATTGGGAATTATATTTCATACCTCATTTAATTCTAGAGAATGCAAAGAGTTTCAAGGTAACCCTTCCATTGGCCTGTTTTTTACCAGCTCATGATACACAGATGGTGTCCTAAGAGATCACAGCTAAAGTAGTGAACTAGCATCTGTGCTAGGCCTGCATTTCAATACATATTTCATTAACATTTCCATGTGGTGTCTAACCATACACTCTATATTTGTTACAAATAGTTTAGCGTAAAGCAGAAATTGAACCTTTTCAATGACAAGCTTACCTCATAACTGGTTCAGCCATGCTGTGTGCCTGATAGAACAGTGTATAAAGGTAAGGAAGCAGGGAATAGCGCTCCTTAACAGCTTCCCTGATGATCTTTGTGTTCTTCTCCCCAAATAGCCAGGGTTCACGACGCTTGGTGTTCCTATTGGCATGGCCTCTGAAGAAAGGCTGCAAAGCCCCAGCCTGATACCATCGAACCAGTAGTTCTGGTTGTGGATTTCCAATAAATCCACCGACATCCGCTGGACATCAAAAAAATATTGTTTGCCAGAAATTGGTGAAAAATTCAAACTTCTTGGATTGTCCACCTTTATTAATAGAGTTATAGGCCATTCCTAAGACCAAGCAGACTAATTTTCAGAAAAACAATTTAGACAATTTTTGATTCAGCCTCTAATAAATGCAAAAAAGGCCAGGATACACTTTTTCAGAGCTGCTGGTAAACCAGACTGAATAAAATTCAGGTAAATGAGTGGTCTGATTTGTTGTAATATTCATTAGGCTCCTAATGAATGGATCCCTTCTTAAGAATAGTTTACAGCTCATGATATGAATAGCATCCCTATAAAAGCCCACTTGGTACTGATGTTGTAATCCTTTCTTACCTAAGCACTGCAGCAGGTTAAATATAATTTTGCATTATTAAAGTGAATTATTCTTGATTGTGCACCGCATGGATAAATGTTTTAATTAAAAACAAATGACTTTTGAAGTGTCTGAGTCTGTTTAAGACTTCAGAAGCTTCTCTTACTATTTTTTATTTTGTCTTAATGGAACATAATATACTTTCTGCAAGAGGAAAGGAAGCCCAGTTAAATGGAAATGAGAAAGAAATATATATATCTTACCACCACAGAAAGAAATTCCCGCAATGCTGATTGTCAGCAACATTGGAATGGAGATTTTCAAGTAACTCCAATCTGCTGTGTTGTCTCCAGTCCACACTGCACCTGAAGACAACATGGCAAAATCTTAACCCTATCTGTATTTAGCTATAAGGCCAATTGAATTGAATATATCATACTTTATGTCACTACAAATATATGTTGCTGGCCTTACAAAGTTAATGACTCACTGGAAATTGTGTACTGCCATGAATGAACACAATTGCAAAAGCCTAAGTTACTTACAATACTGTTTCTGATTTAAGAAGAGCTGTATTCCACAGATCTTTATGGTTTGATTTTTAACACATATTCCGTGTAATGTGCTATGCATTCACATATGTCTTTAAGGCTGTAACTATATTTTGGAATATAATTAAGCAGAGGCATCTTTGTGTACCTAATGACAAAAGCAGTGCTGTGCCAATATGACACAAATTCTACCTCTTTTGTATGTGTGACACAGCACAAATAAGATGAAATAATGGAATTTGCACTTCATAAGGTCCTGTAGATGCCTCTATAACTAAGTGATTTTCACTGTCTTAAAAATCTGGCCATTCTAAAAGTTGGAATTTACTGCTCATTTTTTTTTTTATAATTTTCATTATTTACTTCTTTTTTAGTTAATTCATGTATTTATTCAATTTATATATGCCCATTCTCACCTAGAGATGGCTCTAGGCTGCTTATAATAATTAAGGTCCAGAATAGATAATATTTTTATTTAAAAAAATCATTTGCCATGTAAAAAGAGGCTAAAGTACAACAGCAAAGCCTTTGTTGTACTCTTCATATGTCAACATGTCAGGTGCTTTGCTTGTCTTCACATTTCAAATTCAACATCTTACAAATGTCTCACATAGCGTGACTGTCATGACTGGGAGAACAGAGAGTATGATTTGTTTATCATTGCATTTTATTAAAAAAGGTGATTTTATAAAATGAAGATTACCAATACTCTTCAGAAATAAGTGAACAGAATGGTATGGATCTCGTTTGGACTCTAATTATCAAGCCAGCAGCTGAAATAAATCCATATTTCAGTTTAACAGCCTAAATCAGTGATGGCGAACCTTTTAGAGACCGAGTGCCCAAACTGCAACCCAAAACCCACTTATTTATAGCAAAGTGCCAGGGCTGCATCAGCATTGTTGTGCCCTCAGGGCGGGTGGGGGGCATTGCCCACTGGGTGGGCATGGCTGAAGTAGTCACAGCAAACTTGGTGAGCGTGGCTGGGGCCAGTGCGGCAGGGGCCAGTCCCTTGCCATCTCCGGGACATCCCCGGGGGGCCAACGCCACTTGCTCACCCACTTCCTGCCCTGTCGTTTCCAAACGCCATGTGCTTGCTACTCTGGCGAACTCTGCTGGGGCAACGGCACGCATGCCCACAGAGAGGGCTTTGAGTACCGCCTCTGGCACGCGTGCCATAGGTTCGCCACCACTGGCCTAAATTGTTCTAAATCTGATTAACTATAATTCCTTGGAGGTCATTCTGATTTAACTGTGGATTACAGTAGAATTAAAGGGAATATGTGCACAATTAAACACATATGCTTGCATCTCTTTTACTTTCAAGCATACAATTGTTCAAACCACTGAGTAACCTAGAAATGGTTAAATCCCAAAGCTCAGGTTGAATATGTCCTTTAAGCAAGCTGTATCTGGTTCCCGGTAGGCTTTCCAAATTAAAACTGTGCTAAATCCCATCTCCTATATTTCTGAGATTCTTTTATTCCCAAATAATAAGAGTTTTTTTCTACCTCTGCCTCAGTAAGATGAAAAAAAATTGAAAAGTTTACTGAGCAGAAAAGCAGAATTTCTTTCAGTATTTTTCTTTAAAGAAGTCCAGCAGGATGGAGATCCTCATATTTTTATGTTTTCTTTCAAATCATCTGATCCTCTGACACATTGGCAAATAACCAACCATGGTTTAAGAACCACTGGGTAAATGGCTGTATGGGAATCTGAATGACAATGAGCACTGGCAAAGCATGCATTTGTCTTTTGTGCAACTGGCTTTTAAAAGAGCAATACCAGATAAAAATCAATCTTTCTCGACACTTACCATACTTCTGCGATCCAGCAAAGAAAGAGCGGGTAAGAACAAAGGGTCTTTCCAGCCCTCCACTTCGTTTCACCAGCCCTTCTGCAGTTGCCATTTGCTGAAAAAGTTATTATTACTACTATTATTGTTATTATACTGTTATTATATTAGATATCCCATCTTTATTTTGAACAACCCAGGGTGGTTTATTTTCCTCACAACTGTCTCAAAGATGCTCTCTCAAATGGCAATTGGAGTTTCTTTGTTTATCCTTGAAATCCTTTTCGCTTCTCATCCAAGGAGCTTCTTCAATTCAGAACTGAAGAAGTTTCTTGGGTGAGAAGCAAAATATCTTCAAGTAAAAACAAAGAAAGTCCAGTTGGTTTTTGAAAAAAGCACCTTTGGGACAACCGTGACATAGATGATTAGGTATCTCCATAGACATTTTCCTCACAACTGTGAAGTGGATTGGGCTGGGGGAGGGTAACTGGCCCAAAGTCTCCTAGCTGGTTTTCAAACTCATATATAAGGGGGACTAGAACTCATGATATCCTGTTTCTTATCCACCACTTTAATCACTATGCATCAAAGGAACGGTAAGCAAAACATTTTTAGCAAATGTAGCAATGGGATTGGAATTACACAGAAGTGAGCGCCAGGAATTATAAAATATAGCAAAGTATATTGAAATAGGAAACACAGAAGTGATACATCTTAGGAACAGAAAGAAAGGAATGAATGATATTGTAAACAACAACAACAACAATAATAATAATAATGTTAGAAGGGACCTTGAAGGTCATCTAGTCCAACCCCCTGCTCAGGCAGGTAACCCTATACCATTTCAGACAAATGGTTGTCCAGTCTCTTCTTAAAAACTTCCAGTGTTGGAGCATTCACCGCTTCTGGAGGCAGGTTGTTCCACTGGTTAATTGTTCTCACTGTCAGGAAGTTTCTCCTTAGTTCTAGGTTGCTTCTCTCCTTGATTAGTTTCCATCCGTTGCTTCTTGTCCTGCCTTCCAGCCTTCTCTTCATTAAACTAGACATACCCAATTCCAGCAACCGTTCCTTATGTGTTTTAGCCTCCAGTCCCCTAATCATCCTTGTTGCTCTTCTCTGTACTCTTTCTAGAGTAATGTACTTTTATTTGTAATATTTTGGAACAAAAGATGATATTGGGCAATATACTTTACTGAAGTTGTTTTTAAGTAACATTAACAGCTACAAAGATTTTAAAATAATGTATTATTGTACAAAGATTTTAAAACAAACTATTATCGTGGTTATAATGGCACTGCTTTTTTATTAATAAATTTATAAACCACTTTGATTAAGACAACTATAGACAAAATGCAAGAACAGCAACCACAGGTAATGCAATAATAAGAACTACCAGTGTTCTCATTGTTAATTCAGCTGTAATTGTCCTACCTGGTAGAAGCCATAGAGATTATGAACATCTCGATGTTCCCATTTGCCATAATGAATGGCGTCTTTTGACATGCTTTGTTCTATTCCTCTGAAGACTGAAGGCTCATTCATATCATTCCAGATAAAAACAATTTCAGAAGAACCCTGTAGGCCAACATTTAAGTTTCTTTAATGTATTAGTTAAGTACTTGTACTAATTTATTTTGTTCACACTACTTTGAAAGGTGAACCTTTCCCTTTTTCCTTGGCCTCCTTGCCTGAGATTCAACTGAGCAGAGAATGAGCGTCAGATATGAAGGTTTTCTTCCTGAGGGTTATTCAGAATGGGGATATCTCACATGCCTTCTCAATTCAAACAGATGTTAAACCGAATAAAGTATTTAAGATGGTACATTCCTCTTATTTCCAGCTTTATCTGTAATGCAATTTGCATGAGCTAAAAGGTCTCTACGCAGAGATGACTATGCAGAAGATGTCCTGCTTTAGTCTCTCATTTTATACTCTGGATGGATTTTATTTATAACTAGCTGTACCCGGCCACGCGTTGCTGTGGCTCAGTCTGGTTAAATGGAAAAGAAAGAAAAGAGAAAGCGCACGTTTCTAATATGTTTAATTTCACAATGCTTGTGGGTATACAATATTTTTTGTTGTTCCATTGTCTGTGCATCAATTCCAACGCAATGTCACACGAAATAATTAAATCAAAATGAAAATAAATTGAAATCTATGAAAATTCAATTTAACAATGCAATCGGAAACATTGAAATGGAATCGTAAAATTGGAAATTTGGAAATCGTAAATGGATCATAAATTGGAAACATTGAAATGGAATGGTAAAATCGTAGCGTGTGTTGCTTTTACGTCCAACAGATGGCGCTGTTTTTTAAAAAAGCATGTTTTTACCTGTCACAAGTATGACATCTATATAATATAGGTATATAAAAACACGTGCGTATTTGAATGCAACGTTGTGTCAAAATTTCAAAGCAATCGGTGAAGAACTTTCGGAGATTTAAGATTTTGAACAAACGAACATTTACATTTTTATTTATATAGATTACCAAAGTTATTTAGATTTTGTCTTTTTCCACATTTCCAAAATTAAGCACCCAAGGTTGTATAGAAATCACATTAATAGACAGTAATATTCTATGGATCCTGACCATATCATTACAGAACACAAACCTTGTATGTTTTGAAGTCAAACTGATCTGCATACCATTGTCGGACTTCAGGATTGGTAAAATCCAGGTATGATGAGAGACCTGCAGATGTTAGGATTGTATTATATTTGCAGGAAGAAAAAGCATACCTGGCTTGTTCTTTGTGTCATATCCCATTACAATAATATAAAATATTAATGTTCAAGCCAATGTACTGATACATGAGACAGACAGCTATTATTGTCATTTCTGGTACTGACAAATGTTAAGATACGAATAAGAAGAGAAACAGAAATAGAGAGAAACCTGTCAATTCTGAAGATAAGGAATTTATCAATTTATTTCAAATAGGTCAATTACAATTAACGAGAAAATCCACTTTGATCTACCTCCTATGTGCTTCTTCAAAGTTATTTATAAAACAAAGAGAGTTTATTACCTGGCCAGCAGATGCCCTCAAAATCTTCACCATTACGATTTTTTACAAATAATCCTTTCGCTTTTGCTTGTGAGTATATAGTATAAAGAGGATCAATCTTAACATGAGGGTCCACAATGACAACCAGCTGCCAACATGAGAGATAACAACATAGCCTTATTGTTGACTGAATAGTATGTTGCCGGAATGTTTAGATTAGCCTTCCGTAAGCTGATATTCTCTTCTAGATGCTTTGGATTCGCAATTGCCAGAATTCCCAATTAAAGCACATTAAAGCAGAGGGAAAAACATATGCAAGAAGCCAAAAATCTTCCCAAGTTAGCTGGGGAAAAACAGAGAATGCTTTAAACTATTAAAGGGAATTTGCTAGCCTGATTGTTTTCTTCCATAGATGTATTTCTTTCCAAACAATATTTGTTTTAAAATTTTCAAGGAAATGGATGTTCTCAGAAGGCACCGATGAAAGCCGCATAGCTACACCACTTTCCCTCTGTTTTTCATGCATTATGTACCTTGCGTTTTTTCTTCATAAGTATCTGCTTCTGCATCTTCTCAGGATTGGGAAATCTCTTCTTGTCCCAAGTGAAGTACCGCTTGCCATCAGTATGCTCAATGTCTAGCCATATGACGTCATAGGGGATGTCAAAGGTATCAAAACCTGCATCCACCTTTTGTACATCAGCCTCATCTTCATAATTCCAGCGGCACTGATGGTATCCAAGAGAGAAGAGGGGAGGCAAAGCCTGAGTGCCTATGAGGAAAAGGAAGGGGGAAAAATTGTGCTGCCATTCAAAATATAACTAAGAACATATTAAATGATAAATATTTCATTTTTATTCTTCTACTTAGTATAAACAATCAGGACAGTTGGTAGGTTAATTACTGGAAGGCTACAAGGGAGGGACTAAAGGAAATTTCTTCATAAGCCAATACCTGTTAGCTGTCCATATTGCTTAAAAATATCAAAAGGGCTGGGTCCCTTTAGGATGAACATGTCAATGATTCCGCTTTCTGACATCCAGCGCACATCAGTTTGAGGCACTACTCTCTGTTTGGACACGTGTGGAGTTTGAGAAGGTAAAACCTTTAAAACAAACATACTGTATACAAATACTTAGAAATAGTGTTAAATGTAATTTATAAAAAATAATAGCGGTAGGTTAAAAAAAAATCTAAAAAAAAGTTTTCCAGCATTAGTGATAACTTTCAGTGGCCAAGATGGGTAGAGGTGTTGTCCAACTCAACATGAGGTTTTCAGGTTGGTGGAAGATACTTTATAATGTTATGAATTCTTATACAATGTATATATAGTTCCATGCAGAACACATTCCATCTCACCTTCATTGAAGCTTTTGTAGAAATCTCCACCAATGTTTCTGAGGAATTTAGCCAAAAGACTCCAACTGTCTGATCAAGCTTATGTGCTAGAAGTAAGGGCACTGAACCGTAAATCCCTATTTTGCTGTGGATGACATATCCAAAGACATCCAGATTATAAAGCCGGTAGATATCATCATCACTGGAACACAAAGACAAATGAATTACTTGTAGAGAAATTATTTTATGTCATCCAGTGTGAGAACAGGACATTGTAGTGCAGCAACTGCCTTGTGGTACTATGGAATAAGTTGTCCACAGTAATAGTTTATACCAGTTTTCTTTGTCCTGATGTGATCCAGTTTTGTTGCAGTTCAATTACCATAATGATTAATGCATAATGTGAGAGCAAGTTTGCTGAGTAAAGATGATCATCTGTCCATTTACTCAACTCTTTGGATTTATATATCTCTGTTGAAGCAACTGTGCTGGCTTTCAGTATTCATCTATTGAGACCATTTTATGCAACATACCTATATTTCCTCCTCCTTCTCCTTGCTTGCTCACAGCATATCACTTGGTGTCAACCTGATTGTGAAGCTACTTGCAGCAGTGGGTACTCTTGTCCTTTGGAGCAACTCATTCAGCTAATCATGGCTGTGTAACTCATACTGGCTTCTCCACTTCACTTGGACCTTTCACGATCTTGGTGGAGGGGTCTTGCAATCCTCGATGTCACTGCCACGTACAGATTGCTCATGACTCGCTCTAATTACCGAAGGCGTCTGTGAGAAAAACTAGCATCTAGTAGTGCAATCAAAAGGACCCTCCCTTAAGATCGTGAACGAATCCGAAGGGATGACCTCTTTTATCGCCAGCGGAGTGAGATTTTCCAAAAAAGAACAATACCGCTTGCTGTGATAAAGCCACCTGATGCCTTGTGAGGGTGTGATCTTTTGCAGTAGAAATGATGAACAATACTGATACACTGTGCAGACAACCCTAACAATAAATGTATTTTTATTTTTTGTTGATTATAGCCCGCCTGTCATTTTAAGCATGCTTAAGATATAAAAAAAATCCCTAAATTGAATGTGTATAATGAAATCTGTTCTTTATTTTTCAACAGCAGATAAGCAAAACTGTGGATAATGACACTTTTTTCAGTGCCCTTGTAACTTTGAAAGGTCATCAAATGAATAGTTTAGTCAAGGACTACCTGCATACATTTTGCTGAGCACTGAATCCTGCAGTGAATGTAAAGGGAAGGGCAGAACAGACTGAGCATGTCCTCAATTCTGTTTTTTCTTGCAAGGGATATTTGAAAGAAAATATTTATCCAGAATGTAACTCTTGGGAAAACATTGTAACGGCAAAGAAAGCAAAGATCACCTTCAGTAATTGACTGCTCTGAGGTTTTATGTTGAAGAAAACAGGAGAAGTGAGCAAGAAGCAGGAAAAACAGAAGCTATGGGCATGGGAATCCTGGGTGATTAGGCCGAGTCTAAATGGCTCCAGTAAATGAGGAAGGCACTTAAAATCCAGAGAAGTGGGAGCTGATTGGAAACATTCATTTATTCTTAGATTTTATTCCCACCCTTTCACGAGAAGCTCAAGGTGGTATATACAGCACTCCCTTCTCCTCTTTTGTCATCTCCCCCAAACAACAAACCTAAGAGAGAGAGGTTAGGCAGAGAGCAGATGACCTCCAAAGTCACAGATAAAGAGAATACGTCTTGGTCTTCCCTGTCCTAATCCAACACCTTCACCATTGCTCCACACTGGCTTTCAGGAAAAGATCAATTGAAGGGATTAATAACGCCGGGAAGCTGTGTGATATTCTAGATGTTAGGAGAGAGGCTGCTGAGCTACTTCCTCCTTGTAGTGAATGTGGAATACAATGTTGTGTTCCATTTCATGTTATACTATTAATTTGGCATAGCTATGATAGTTTCTAGCCAAAAGCCCCCAGACCTTGGACCAAAAGTCTTGAGCTACAATGACATTCAGAACATTTCGCTATCTTCTGATGCTTATTTCATTACCTGGTATTTTTCAAGAGGAGGGTTTCTGCATGCTGAGGTATTCCATAGAGATGTTCAAATCCATGCAAAGAAACATCTAAACCTACACTACTAGGACCTGTATTAAGACAGAGTAGCACTGTTAGGTAGCGAAAACACAGGGCAGCATGAAAGAGTAACCCATTCAATACTAACCTCCTCTGAGGCTCCTTGTGACTTACTATAATATAGAGAAAAATTGTGTCAATGTCTCATTGTGAGGACCCAGAACGAGGACTAAGGAAAGAAACCCATTTTAAGGATTCAAGCAACCTAGTCCAAATCTACAAAGACAGATTGTGCAGCCCCCAGCTAAACATTAAATATAAGCCATCTAAACTGCAGTATAAACAGGCAATAGAACTATTGCAATAATTGACTTCCGGTTTTGAGCCAATAGCACATGGCTGCACGAGAGTGGACCTCTGCTCCCCACGGCTAGTTTCATCCTGCCAGGGGGACCCTAGATGGGTCCAAAGTTGCCCTGAAGAGGTGACCGTGAAGGAGGGGTGCCCCATTGATCACGAAGCGACAGCAATCACTTCGTTTGATCCAGGGAAAGCACTCTGAACCCGACAGGAGAAAGGCTAGCATGAGATCAGCATCTAGTCCAAGCTACTTGCAGCCGAAGTCCCAGAGCACGAACCTGAACATCGGTGAACAGCGTGCTTGGAATTGGTGAGACTACTGACCTTCTTTCTTCTATCTACTAATTGAATCCTTGAAAAGATCCCCAAAGCAAGAAAACCTCCAGAAGTGAAGGGAGGGGATTATATCCCTATTCCCTTACAGACGGAAGCGGCGAATTAATATTAAAGGAGGAAAGAGATATATTAAAATTTGATTTAAAATACTACAGTCTGGACAAATCTAGGAACTAAAAAACTGGCAAGATTATACCTTAAAGAATTTTTGATGGAATTATAAAAATATATAACAAAAATAACCTTTTGATTGAAAAAAAAACTGAAAAAAGAAATAACTGCTGACATCTAGTGGAGAATCAGAGAATAGAACACTCACAATAAGGACTCAGAAATTGGCAGAATGCCTAGAAACAAAGAAAAAGCTGTTCCTTTGAATTGCAAATAACCTTGAAGACAGCTGGGAACAAAGGAAGAGCCAGCTATAAGATTAAAAAATGTCTGAAAGAAAAACAACAACAACACCTGAACTGTTGCTTAAATCTAAGAACTGTTTATGGAAAAGAAAAACCTTGGTTTTTTGGCTAATCTTTTAGAGGAGAATCTACAGGAAGGATTTAAAGTGGCTTAACACACTGAACTGTAATTTTGACTGACAGATAAATTGACTTTTGAATTAAAATATTGATGAAAGATTATTTGAAGGGGGGAGACATCATGGATATCACATACGTATCAAAAAATGCCAGGACACCACATTTAATATTTTCTCCTGAAGGACTTAGCTTGGAAAAATCAAGGGTCTCCAAAAGCAATACTTCAAGGCAAGATAAATATTTTCCAGGAGGAAATATATGTAATGTTAGGACAAATACAAATGACAATAGACTCAAACCACGAGGAAATTTGAAACAACTTTGATGATTTAAATAAACATATTTCTAATCTAAATCTACAATTAAAAAACACCCAGGAAATAACAACAAATGAACAAATAAATCAGACAGCAGACTACAAATTAGAAGAGTATGATCAAATTGATGAAATAACAAAGGAAAATAATTACAATTTGACACAAACAGGAAAAAATCTACAAGGTTCTGATACAAGAAAAATGGAATGGACTATAGAATTATCAGGGAACCATCAAAGCTTAGGAGACAGAAATTATTCATCTTACTTACTTCATCTTTTGCATTCCCAACAACATTTGTAAAAATACAGGAACTGCCGGGTAAGCGGATTACATCAACTTGGAAAATTACTTGGCAAAAGAAGAAGATCAGAGACAGATACAAGAGATTTGACTCATCCTACCAGATGGATTATTACGTGAATAAACATTTGTCTCAATATGGCTCAAAGAATAGAGAATTTTGCACACAAAGAAGGATAAGAGATTTAAGTAATATAGTATGTTCTATAATATATGAAATCTTAAAATAGCAGGTTGAAGTAACTTTTATTAATATAAGTGAAATATAAACTGATTAAAAAGGATGTTACATCTAGATACTATAAGATAGATAAAAAGTATAATATTTTTACAATGCATGACATAAAATATTGGGATGATGTACCTAAATTGAAAAATTTGGACAGTTAGATGACTAATATGAAGAAATTATGACTGATAAGAATTGGATTGAATATAAGGGAATTTAACATAAAGAAAAATTATAAAAATAGGATGCATGCTGAACTAATGAGATGATGGTTATGAGAATAATATAAGCTGAAAAAATGTTATATAGAGAGATTATTATTATTTGTATAAATATAAAAATGCCTATATCTAATCATTTATATATTAAAAATATTAAGAATTATATTGTGGCTAAGGTTGAAAAAGGAGAATACATATGGGAGAAGGGAAAATCAAAGAAATATATCATTAATTAATATATTTATTATGGTATTATCAAATTTAATCGTTACTGGTTGTTAATTATTATTGTCATTTTTTTCTTGTTAAAATGTAAACCAAGACAACATGCTGTACACCAAGCACTGGAGATTGTTATAGTTAAAAACTAATAAAATATTTATTAAAAAAAAGAACTATTGCAATAATTGATTCCTATGAATGAGCCAAGCCATGTGCAGCTGGGAAAAAGCCCAACAAGAACAGCATTACTGGTGTAAATATGTGTTTGTGCATGTGTGTGTGTGTGCATGTGAGTATGAAGAAATGACTGTATCACCTGGTGTGGGGATTTGCTAGTATTGAAGCCTGAAAAATGACTGTACTGTCAATGAGATGGATTGCACTCTCCTGTAAGTTAAGTTTCTTTATGTTTCATAATTTGTTTTTGTTTTAACAGTCATTTGCTATGGTTTTGGGTATTTCTGTATTGATTTTTTTTGTTTTTAACTCTGGAAATTACCCAGAATCATGTACACTGTATGATATGTGTAGCTATATAATTGAGCAAATAAATAAATAAAGTTTAAGAGAAAAAAACCTCACAAACCAATTAAATATACATTACTATAATTGAGAGAAAGGACATTTTCAATTATTAGATAATAACTAAACATTGGCAACATGGCATGCTATCCTCAATATGCCAAGTTAGCAAGCAATGATTCCCAATATTTTTATAATCAATTTTACAAAAATGGAAATGACCCAAACTTGTGAGAGAGCCAAACCCTGCATGATATCCAAGTTTTCACATAAAAACTGATGAGATTTGAATCAAATTGATTAAATTCAGAGCTGAAAAAGAACACTGGTCTCTGAGCCACCTACCATTAGCTTTGATGTCTAAAAAGTTGCCATTTTTTTCTTCCCAGAGACCTAAATCTTCTTCAGTTTCCTTAGATAAAAGGAAAAGAGATGTATGCCTATCATGGACTAGCCAACAGAACTTAGCATTTTCTAACAATACAACTGGTTTCCAATCTAGCTCAGAATTACAGCTAAGCAATATTCTACAATGAAATCACTGTACAATTCAGACATGCCCTAGTTAATAATCGTCAGTAACTGGCTTATTTCTGTTGTACCCAAATAGTGCACTGATCCCTTCCAGATTCATAACATTATTGTTTAAAGCATTTTTACAATCAAAACTTATTATTTCCACCACAGGAATGTTTTATCCCTTGGACAAACTGACCAGACAAAAATCCATACATCTACAGTAGATTAAATTTACCTTAAAAGAGTCTGCCAATCCACTTTCCTTTTCTTGTGAAGTAGATTTCCTTTAAAAATCAAATGTATTCAGTGTATAATTACAAGTAGATACTCACAAAAGAATTTATTTTAGAATAAGAATGTTAATTATCTCACCCTACAATAATTGATCTGTACTTCGAGATCAGCACAGATAACGATATTGCTTTCTGTATGATATATTTTTGTCTTTTTTCTGTTTGTTCCTTTTCCTTTTTTATTTTTCTCCTTTCCCCCTTTTGTATATCAAAGCAATATCATACCTGCTTTGAGGCGGTGACTGTAGGTGTTCCAAATACAACAGGCCATTGGAATTCATGCTCAGTAAAATTTCATCCTTAGAAATAAGCTGTATTTGAAAAGGTTTTGCCATTATATGAATCTGCTGGTCTTGCTCAGCACCTACCAGCACAACTTTGTCTGCATCTTTCTCTGATATCTTCAGCCTTGGAAATGGAAAAAGACAGGCATAGAGAAAATATTTGATAACATTTTTTGTTCAAATTACAAATAATAGCAAATCTGGAAACTGATCACTTCCACTAGTGTCAGTCAGTTATACATATCAAACTGACCCTTTTTGTTAACATACATTTCTGCGACAAATTTCTGTATCTTTGGATATATGTTTCAGATATTTCTGCCATTTTTAAAAAAAAAAAAGAGGAAAAAAGCATCTTGCAGCTGGGAATTGCTAAAAATTCTAAAAAGAAGTGATCAATTCTAGCAAAAGAAACATTAAGCATGGAGTGTACACAGAAAAGTATGACAGAAAAACTGCTCATGAACTGTTTATCAGCTGAATGGGAAGACTGACCAAGATTATTCAGCATAGCCAGGGTTAAATGCTGTGTTTAATAACTGAGGTGTTTCCTATATGGTTAATAATGTGAATATTTTCGGTTAGTTTTCTAGTTGCTCCTCTTTTTCTTTCTGTATTTTTTTCTTTATATGTTAAAGCAAATAAAAATTAAAAAGGTTATAGTTCAAGCAAAGGACAAAAGTTCCCCCCTACTAGTGGATGAGAACATTTTTGCAATATTCCTTAAAATGATAACATGTAATCAAATAATACATTTTATAAATAAATAATCAAATAAAGTATGCCAGATTCTGCTTGGCTGTGAGTCCTTCCAAATATCCTTCAGATATCCTGAACTATAGCACCCATTATGTAAAGTATAAGGCTTAGTACTTATATTAAGTATTAAGTATAAAACTATTAAAGTATAAAGTAAATTAAGTTTTTGCTTAATTTTATTTATTATATTAAATTAATCAACAGAAGACAAAATAGATATATAACATAATTTATACTGCTATGTTATCTGAAAATTAATAACCTTACTAATGTTTAAAAAGAAAAGGAAAAAGAAAAGAGAAAAACAATATATATTGTAAATAGAACTGCAAAATTAAATTGCTTTGCTCCCCCCTCTTCTAAAAAATAAAAATAATTCAGATATTTACTAACAATACTTACTTTATATCTCACCTCTACAAAAAAGGTATCAATTTCTCCTTTCACTAATTCACTAACTCAGCTTCATGCCCGAAACATTCACAATTTTGATTTTTTGAAAGACTCAGATAATAGGATTAAACTCAAAAAGAATGTATCTTATATATAGTGTCTGATGCAAAAGTTTGTTAACAGCTACATTTATTTCAGCCCAAAATGTAGCAATAGAAAAGTTAATATTCTAACTCCAGAGCAAGGTAACTATAACTAATCTTCATTATGCATTCTCTGAAATGTCAAAATATCTACAAAACAATTTTTATTAATCTCATTTTAAGATCAGAGGAAGCTAATTTCATTTTATTTAAAGTAATTGAAATGACAGTGGTGCTAAATAGGAAAGAAAATACTAAAATGCTAATGTGAAAAGACTCTCAAAATAATACATGTGAAGAACACAGATGTATCCTATAAAAAGCCTAGCTATGTGTACTGTTCAATAATAAACAATATTTATTTGAATGATGAAGATCCAGTGTGAGGTCCATATTTATTACTCCAAATGTAGTAAAATATCTTACACACTATTCCCAATGTTTTTTTTTCTAAACTGGAGAGCTAAATCTCACTTTATGTAAATGCCCCAGTGGCAAAAAGAGGATTTGTTCCCAATCTATACCTGATCTCAGATATCACTTCCTATAACTTACCTCAAGCTAGCTGGTTCCTTTATGAGAACATCAGGGACTTCATATCTTGGCTTGAGTGGATTTACCTCATTTATTTTAAGTCTGAAAATATTGCCCTCTATTTCATATATTTCTACTGAAAGAGTTACCTAGTAATTGAATAAACACAGGAAAACTATTAGACAATAGTAATATGTTATACTAGACAAAATATCAATTTCTCACAAAATATCAATTTCTTTTCTTACTCTTTTACTATTTATTCAAAATAATACAAAAGACAGTTTCAACATACTGTAGCTTCTCCACTGAAAAGAGTCTTATTTGTGAGTGTTTGCTACCAAACAGATTGGAAACAAATCAGTAATAATGAAATAGAGTAGCTAATGGCATTCTGAACTGCTTTCAGCAAGAAAGTTCCAACTGAAAACTTTACTTTTCTGACCATCTTAAATTAAATGGGAATAGCTATGTAATTCGTTATTCTAGGACTAGGTATTTAATATTATGATCCTCCACCTATTCAAACAGGAGCATGACCAAATATTTGAATGGATATGTATGAAATAATTGCATTATTTATTTATTTATTTATTCATTCATTCATTCATTCATTCATTCATTCATTCATTCATTCATTCATTCATTCATTCATTCATTCATTCAATTACTTTTTATGTCACCCATCTCCCTTATAAACTGTTTATGGGTAGCTTACAAGTTTTAAAATAAGTAGAAAAATAATTAAAATATTGAAACATTAAAACTACATGTTAAGATTTTAAAAACTGTACTAAAACCAGAACTAAGAGACAGACGGGACAGGGATGATGTCATCTTCCCCGGTCAGCTACCTCCACCAGTGCGCACCTTTCTAGGGTTTCTTGGACCCAGGCAAATCAGCAAAGCCAAATTTTAATACCCTTCAGGAAGACCAAAAGGGTGGGAGCAGTTCTCACTTCTGGTGATAGAAGGGTGGGGACACGGTGGAAAAGGCTCTTCTCTTTGATCCCGCCTGCTGCAATTCCTTAGTAGATGAGATCTGTGGCAGGCCTCTTCTCTCCCATGAGTGGGGTGATCTAGTCCCATTGGGGAGAAGTGACTTCTCTTGAATATGTATATGTATATGTTATATACAGGGCTTTTTTTTGTAATAGAACGCCCAGAACGGAGTTCCGGCACCTTGTTTGGATGGAACCTTGTAGGGTAGGCAAGGCGGGTTGTATAATGTGTGTGAGTTCCGGCACCTTTTTTTTTTTTTTTTTTTTACAAAAAAAGCACTGCTTTTATATATATATGTACATATACTTATACAAGAGTTATATAGCTGCTCACCTCACATTTGTGACTCTAGTTTCCCATAGTAACCCATGGTAATATTCTCCTTGAAATTAATCAGAACAAAGGACGATCTGCTGAAGGCACCACTCATGATTTTAATAGACTTAAGAAACATCTCTTGAAATCCCTGACTCTCTCTAATTTCAGAGCTAAATACTAATCTGATTTGTATGCTTTGTTCAACCATATTGAACAAATTAATATTTGGGTTTCCTAACATAATCCATAAATTTTGACTTACAGACATAATATATATAGGTTTCCACAACTTTCTAAGCTCAGCAGGGAGGGCTCTAAGAAGGAGGAAACTATATGCCTTCTTAGAGGGGTGTTTTTCTAAATTTTTAGGGGGTTCGGGGTCGGCCTGAGGGGAACCAGGGGAGTCCTCTCGGAGGCCAAGGTCGGTCCTGTCTGGGGGGCGCAGAGTGGTAAGGGAGGAGACTGGGGGGCTGGCGGAGGGTGGTGTGATAGGTACGGTCAGTGGGAGGGGCAGGTATGGCGGGAGCAGAGGACCATATCGGGTTTTGGGAGCACGCACACGCTACTTACAAGCTTGTGGGTGCTCCGATCCTCAGAGCTCTGCTCGACCTCCAGGGACCTTAGATCCTCCGGCCCGGGTCCA